ACTCTCGGCACCCTCCTGTGGAGGCAAGGCACCAGAAGATCCACATCCGAGGTTCCCCAGCAAAGGCAGATCTGACGAAACACATCTGGGTGTAGGACCACTCTCCATAGTACAGCATCCAATAAATAGGGTAATCTGGCCAACACATGGAATGTAACTGGATACTAACATTTACAAGTATATTTGATCCAGGCACTATTACTTCTCTGGGGGATCAGGAAGGATTTTTTTCCCCCTGCAGGAGAAAATTGAATCATGGTTTGCTAGGGGTTTTTTATGCCTTCCTCTGAATCAACTGTGGGTATAGGATTATAACTTTTTTTTTTTTATTAAATTGAATGGACTTTTGTCTTTACGTACGTGGCGGGGAGAGCTGGTACAGGAAGGTCCACCCACGGAAGGATGTGGGAGGCCTCCAGCGCCGCTGTCACACTCATACCACCCTGGACTTGACATAGGCCACCACAGTGGCATTTTCTGATTGGATCCTGACTGGACGTGTACGTGAAGAGAATCCATCTATCAATCCAGACACAGCCTGACTGTTTGTGGCTCCAGGACATAAATGCAAAGCCGAGACTGTTTCAACCCCAGTCCAATTCAACCCCAGGACCTCTCCCCAGCCAGACAGGTGGGCATCCGTTGGGACTACCCAGTGGAGGGGGAGAAGGGACTTTCCAGGCTATAGGGGGAAGACCAAAGACACCAGAAAAGAGAGGCCCTGATGATTTGGGATGACCAGGAAAGTGGGTAATTGGTCCCATTGGCTAGGAATTCATGCTGCAGAACAGTCACTTGGAACAACGCATACAGAACTACCTTTAGAGATGGATCCATAGGACCCAGGACCTGCATGCAAGAACACAGGGAGAACCGGCTGCAGGGCAGGAGCAGCAGAACCACAGTCTGAAGCTTGTCCATTGGGAAAAACACTTTTTGGCCCACGCCGAGTCGAGGACAAGACCTAGATACTCCTGCCTTTTGATCTGGGTCAAAGGCAACTCTTTGCTGGAATTCAGATGGGTTCTGCATTTCAGAGTGCGCATTGTGATCTACATGTAGTCCATCAGCGCAAAATTTGTCTCCGGTTACAGGGGGGGGATCATTGAGGTAGCCATTCCTGTGATCCCCCGCTGTCTCAGTAATTCCAGTACCTGGGCCAAAACTCTGATTAGTGAAAGCCAGGCTCCGCCACAATTGACAATGTGCATACCCAACCACAAAACGGAAGAAACATTGATACTTAGCTCAGATGGGGACAAGTAGGTATGCATACGCAATGACCTAGGATGCTAGAAATTCACCCAGATGAAGGGAAGTCGCCACAGAATGGATGGATAAATGCCAGTTTAACTACTGCAGCCGCACAAGGCAATTCAGGGACTGAAGGTCCAGGCACGATTGGGCAAATTCTATTTGCACTTAGAACTGTAAACAGGTTGGAGTAAAACCCCGAAACTGAATTGGCTCCAGAAAATGGACAGTCACACCCTGGAGTAGCAAGCCCTGACCTACCCCACCCCGTACAGAGCCTGCAGGTGAAATAGGGAAAGACAAAGATTGGACAGGAACATTTTCTCCAGAGGATAAGAAGGAAATTCAATATTGAAGCCAGACAATTAGTTCGTGGGGCCAGATGACGTAGATGAGAGGGGGCCCCACAGGCCTGTGAACCACCAGTAATAACCGCCCCCCCAGCCTGGAAATGGGTGGGACCAAACGCTCAACCTGAGGACTTGTTTGCAGGCTTTGGGCGCACGTGAGGCCAGGGGCGCTTGGTACCTCCTGCGGGTGCCTTGAAGGGCTAGAAGCCAGTGGATGGAGGACCCAGAAAGGAGAAGACCTGGATTCTTTGACAAAGTTGTAATGGTGAAACGCGTCAGTGACGTCAGATGCCAACCGGAAGTTGCGTGGTGGCCATTTTGGATAAGGCCTGGCCCTAATTGTTTGAAATAAACCTGATGTACATCACAACCATGTAAACGAGTTTCATCTAAGAAATTAGGTTTTTGACATATTACACAATGGTGTCTGTTTTGATCTTTTTTTGATATTGGCTACAGAGCAGTCTATTTGTGAAAAGCTGTGTTTGCTTTACTATTTAGTAAGGTGCATGGTTTGGAAGGTGGTGGATTTTCTTATTGTCTCATGCATTGGTGGCCATTCGTCTGTTATCACGGGAGCACAGAGTGGCACGGTAATAATTGTTGATAATACTACACTATATGGAATTTAAATTCTGGAAGGAACGATTATTCAGAATTAGTGATTTGGAAGCAAGAATGCACGAGTTGGGAAAACATTTGAGCAAGTTATTCATATTTAGGAAGGTAAGAGTAGGAATTACAGATATCACATGTGGAAGGACACTTGGTGGAATTTTTGCATGTTTTTAGCACTTTTTGTGAGTGTATGTTATAGTTCGATTTATATTGTATGGCATAGGTAATGCACTAGGTGCGCTCTCTATGTGAGGTTATTTTGAGGGTGAAAAGAAGAAGAGGATGTCACTTTATTAAGAATTTAAAGAATCCTGAAGAATTGTAAAGACACTGAAGGATACACATTGATGGAGTTGATTTGATTGGACGCTGGGAAATATTTTGTAATAGTAGACCTCTGGTCACCAGCAGGAAATGCCCCTGTGAAGAGCAGACTGCAAAACCACACCATGGAGCGCCAAAACCCCAGCCCCCCACACGTTGGCAGAATAGAAGGGGCAAATACCTCAAAGCCAAACGGCGGACACAGCCACTCCCTACAGGGACTGCCCCTCACCAGGGTGAACAGTAGCGGCAACATGCAGAAAGCATAACTGTTCATAAGCATCGGGCAGGTGTTAGGAAAACAATAATTAATGTATTGGTTCAGCGCTACCCTAAATAAATACCAATCATATAAACCCAATACCAACATTGAAACACACTTAAAAAATGACAAATTATACAAATATATATATAAAGGTGAATAAATATGATCATAAAGTGAAATGATCCTTAATCCGATCTAGAAGTGAAAAATAGTGAAACTGAAACAAGCCCAAATGGACTAAAAATGATCTGAAAACAATGTATGTATAAAGTAAAAGTGAACCCCTATAATGGGATCAAGATCCTCACAAGAAAACGCACCAACATGCTTTAAATATGCCAGAATATTTGGTGAAGAAACAGTGACATCTGTGAATCCCAAAATGTGGGACAAATTTTCACAAGATAACAAGTGCTGATGATATATCTCAGAATGCGGGACAAAGATTTTTAAGTGACAAGTGATGTGATAAATCAACATTCATATATGTGACAAATTTTTTTTAAAATAAAATACAAAATGTGAAATTAAAAAAAGGAACCATAAAACAAGTCCAAAGAAAAAAAATTTTCACAGGTGTTTATCACCTGCACGTTTTAAAGAAGCTTGAAGAGTCCAAATATTTTGGTGTTTAAAGTGGATAAGCATGACAATCAATAGGAAATAATCTGTAAACGGCTGAATTGCCCCCTCACCACCTTGCAGCGACCCAAAGGGCCAAAACGCTTGCTGATATATCAAAAAGTACCTTCCACTTTCAGATTCCCCTACCAGGATGATATCCGTCCACACTGGTGATATTTCTTCATAGGCATACAGACAGAAGCAGCAGGTCCCCTCCAGGGATGATATAATCAGATGCAGCCAGCAGCTCCTTGGCCTTTTCCATCAGACCCTCATTGGGCTCCTCTGTACGCTCTCCAGGCGCCTCAGCCTCCTGCACATGGCAACGTGATCCCTGCTCAGCCTGAACTCCAGCACAACATCAACAAAACCAGCAGCTTCCCGCCTCTGTGCCTGCGTGCCACGAGGCTGGTCTTTGGCGCCTGCGTGCCCCGAGGCTGACAGGCACCAATTCAGAGATGACACTTTCCACCAACCCATAAACAGATTGGTGTTTGTGGGCACAAATTTATACCCCATCAAAGCACCGTGTCTCTGGAGACAGATCAAATTGAAAATATTTAAGCATCCGCAAAAAAAAAAAAAAAAAAAAAAAAAAAAAAAAATGGGTTCCCTCAATGATCACATTCCTCAAATCTTGTGCATATTCACTATACCGGTCCACATGATATTCTCAATGCTCTCTCCAATTTATGAGAAATCAAGGAATACAATGTAGACACATTACAGGTCACCTCCATTTTTGTCTCTATACTATTCAGGACCCTGTAATTTCTTTATCATGTGCTTTGTATTCATGAGGTATGGGAGCCTCTGTACCAATGATTGCAATTTTGATCGATCCAGTCACCCAATCCCTCACCTAAGAATCCTGTGCTGATCACTGGTTCATCCCTTAATCTAATTGTCTTTTTAGCACTTTTGGTAAATGAAAGATTAGCTACAGTGTATTTTATTTAGATTCAAGGGGTAAGTTTTTGTACCTGATTTTGTTTATTCAAACACAGATAGATTTGGTTCAGGGGCAACTGCCCAGCCTGTTGGTGCATTTTTAATGGCTACTGGTGTTCGCAATATTGCTTTGATATAAGGGTTCTCATCCCTATGATCCTCTCTATGGATAAGCAAGGTGGAACAGTTTCTGCGTCGTATACATCAATAAATCTGAATAATGCTTTTTAAAATGGAGAGCAGCTTCCCTTCCTTTTTTTACGTTCAATTGTGGCACTTCGTAGTGTTCAGCAACCAGTGGAAGGCTGCACCCAAAGTCAGAGGAACAAGGGACATTTTTGCACATCTACATTTGCACCCTATTGAGTCTGTATAAATAAAAAAACATTAAAATGTACACATTAAAAAAATATTTAATTTTTAGAAAACAAGCTTTACAAAATTGACAAATACTCCTATGAGAAGTCTGATAAATAACACAACACCGCATCAAATACAAAGGTTTACACTGATAATTTAACAGTACGTTCTATACATATAATTTAAACAAATATCCACAAACACATCTCTAAGGGATATAACAAACAATTGGACTGATGTCTTGTGCCATCATCTTAAACATCAGGCATTAAGCCGGTCTCTAGTTCCCTTTGTTTCTGAAGCAAACCCTGATATGAGAGAGAAAACAAAAATTTGTTAAGGAAAAAAAACAAAAAGGTATAGTTCAATGATTATCTAGAAATAATCTTGATGTGACATTCCCTTTTAAAGCCTTATTTGCTGTTCTATAGTTTGTATTTACAGATTTGCAAAACTGTAAAAACATCACTTGTGAAAAACAATATAAAATCGGAAAAAAGCAGCTTGCACAATATTGAATACACAATAAGCAACTACAAAAATGTGCAGCACTAATCCAAAATTGCTTCAATTGTTGTAAGTGACCTAAAATTAATTACAATGTTAAGTGAATAATTACATCAAGTAAACAATTCCGGACCAGCAACATACTTTCAGTGGTTATACTGGAGTGATGCCTGGCAGGCATCACCCTGGTACTGTGTTTTAGAGCCGGTGGTCGGCTCTCTTGTACTAGCCGCTCGATTGCTTGTACAAAAAGCAGGAGGGGAGTTCTCTAAGTGTGAGAACTCAGCGATTACATAATGCTGAGTTCTCACAGCCACTCTGAGCAGAGAACAGTGCCTGTCGGTCACCACTGTCTGCTCTGCCTCTCCCCTATGGAGTGCTGGACCGTGGAGAGGGAGGGAGTGGCTGGCTCACTCTCAGCGGATTGCTGAGAGGCTGAGCCAGGTGCTGCTCCAGACTCTGGGGTGGATCCCGACTTTAAAGTCGGGAGTTTTTTTCCCAGCCTGGACCAGCTGAGTGACGTCAGCCAACAGCATTCTTCAGCTGCAGTCCTGTGATCCACAGGAGAAGTACAGACAAAAGAGCTTTGGCTGTACTTCTCCTTTAAAGATTGAAAATAATTGTTAAAAAGATAAAACAGAGAGAAAATAGAAAACAATGTTGAATTCTCTACTGAATATAGTCTGGAATAAAAGAAAGTGAGGAGAGGTATTTGCAGGCAATGATGTTGGTTGCTCTGATATTTTAACCACTTGCCCTCCTCAGGATTTACCCCCCCCCCCCTTCCTGACTAGGCCATTTTTTGCGTTACGGCACTGCGTTACTTTGACAATTGAGCAGTCATGCAACGCTGCACCCAAATGAAATTTACATGCTTTTTTTCCCACGAATTGAGCTTTCTTTCGGTGGTATTTGGACTTTTTGCTATTAAACATGTCCAGTAAAAAAAATGTAAATCAAATTTCATCATAAATTTAGGCCAAAATGTGTTCTGACATGTCTTTGCTATAAAAAATCCCAATACGTGTAAATTGGTTTACGTGAAAGTTATAGCTTTTACAAATGGTGGTATAGATAATGGGATTTTTTATTTTTTTATTCCTACTAGTAATGGCGATGATCAGCGACTTTTAACGGGACTGCGGCGGACATTCTGACACTGAGGGGGAACTAACTTGGTGTCACTGACATCAATACAGTGATCAGTACTAGAAAAACAAAAAAACACTGACACTGTACTAATGGCACTGGGCAGGAAGGGGTTAATGTGAGGGGCGATCAAAGGGTTAAATGTGTGTAGGGAGTGTTTTACTAGGGGCAGGGGGTGTGTTCTTCACTGTAAGCACACTGATCAGGATGGCTGAACTGTGCACAGCCATCCCAAGCAGTGTGCTCGAGCTGACAGGGAGGAAGATTGTTTGTAAACAAAACAATCTTCCTCCCCGTTGGAATGCATTCATGTGTCCCTCAATGGCTGAGAACGAAAAGAGGATTTTCACTCTGTTTGTCCATGTGCTGGTTTACATTTTTCTGTTTGCCAGTGAGCAATCCTGTAGAGAGCGGTAAAACCTGACTTCTTAAAGTTCAGTGCCCCTCAATAGACTTCCAAGAGCAGGCTTGTAGAGAGAGAACATTTTCGCTTTACATATTCTGATACATTAGCACCCACTTCACCTATTTAGTGGGCCTTAACTGCTTTTGGTGGTCATTTCAAACAGGTCTAATAAGGCAAAGTCCACATGAAATTAAGACCCACTATATGTGAAAATGTAGATGATCTGTCAGCATATCACAGTAGAGAGGTTTTTTTTTTCACATTTTGTGTAAGAAGGTTTAGACCAAAGCCTGCACAGTACAGCAGGAAACCAGTACAAACCTTCCTTAGTTCAGACAGCCCTCTCAGTATTGCTTGCTGTCGGTCCTTGTTTCTGACAACATTTGGATTCAGCAATGGGTCCCTGGCATGGTCAGAGCTGAATATTTGTCGAGATTCTTGGTCACCAGCTAAAATATAAAAAACAATAAGTGTTTACTCAAATCAGATAGCTAAATGTAGTGGTTATACTTATAATACTGTAACTGTTATTACAAATGAGCACTTTTTTGTCATTTTTTTGACCTAGTTCATATTTTGAGCACTGCAGTTAGAGGAGGTTGCATATTTGATGGTGTAGCAAGTCCCAACGCAGTCATTCAAGCCCATGCTCCAATGCTCTGATTGACAGCTGTCTGTAGATCTCTGATAATCCCTTATGATGAGTAGGACATCCTGTAGAACAAAGTGAAAGAGTGTAGGTCCACCATCATCAAACCTACAATATCACCCCTCTGTATCCTACAGGAAACCTTTTTATGCAAATAAAGAGCATTGATGTGTTGGTTGAGGTGTATGAAAATCATAAATTCATATAAGAAGTGGCCTCAAGACAACAGTTTAAAAAAAATATGTTTACTGAGAAAGATATTGGCTGGGAACTCAGAATGACTGTTGTGGGCAGCAAAATGGCTCAGTGGTCAGCACTTCTGCCTAAGCAGCAATAGGGTCATCTGGTCAAATCCCAACACAGCACTACCTGCCTGATGTCTGCATATTCTCCCTGTGCCTGTGTGGGTTTCCTCTGGGTACTCTGGTTTCCTCCCAAATTCCAAAAACACGCTGGCAGGTTAACTGACTCCTGTCTAAATTAGCCCTAGTACGTGAGATATGGACCTCAGCATGTAAGCTCCTTGAGGGCAGGGACTGATGGGAATGTACAATACATATGTAAAGCGCTGCAAAAAAATGACAACGCTGTATAAAGTACCGGCATTAAATAAATGATAGCTCCCTTGCTGGCTGTGGTTTACACACTTTGAGAAGCAGTGATATGCAATAAATGTTCAGCCAGTGAATTCACAATTAAGTCAAAACTCCTGATGTGAATAGTGTAGCAATCGTGCACACCGAGATGGATGCGGTCATCCATCTTAAGATTCTTCCATTTTTGTATCATCTCTCCCCAATCAGGCTTCCTCCTCCAATTTCCCCCATCCCCCAGGAATGTGGTCTGTGCTAAAAAGGCAACAGGCCCCAGTGGGAGCTCCACGGCTATAAAATTCCAACCGAGCTGGGGCCTAGATGTCAGTTAACTTCTCAATCTGGGATATCGTAAAGCCATAAACCAAGTCCTTCACTGAGCTCAAAGGCATTCCAGGGAGTCATAAAACAGACTTACATTTTAAAACCCAGTTTCCATATAATTTTATATCTCCAAATAGGAAATAATTACACAAACATGGAGCACATATTCGGATGGCTCACTTTAATACAAATCGCCTGGTATATTACACCCCCTATCTGACATACACAGGAGAGCAGAAAATTATATCTCCTTAACCATTCAAGCAGGTATGTCATGTTTCATATCTAACCGTTCCGCAGATGATTTTTCTGGGTATTAATCTACTTGTGGATAGAATGTTATACGTACCTAGGAAAAGTTATTGGCCATAGTATAATTTGCGATGGCTTTGGTCATAGCTTGAGCTCTCCGCCTACACAACCCCCTCCCCAAATGAGGCGATTGGTTCTCTGCTTCAGGGAGACACCCTGTGGAGTTCCTAGAAAAAGCTAAGCTGAGTTGAAAAAAAGATGAAGAATTCCTCCCTTTTAACATCGGAACTAATGTTGGGAGATAAGGCATCCTTTTGGATCATGAAACCTGATCTGCTTAAACCAGGACGTTTGGCAAGTACTTTATCTAAATTCTTTCTGTTATCTCTTTCCTGTGCTATTGTTCTCTGTATATTTATATATATATTGGCTACATCTTTTTCTGTAAATATTTTTATTGCACCCTTTTGACGTTTTAGTAATAAACCCTACTTTCTGAAAGTGTTGAACTGTTTCTAAAGCTCTTTAATGCAAACTAAGAATCCCTGCCTCTGAAAAGTGCGACTGTGTGTGGGTTTTAAACTTTGGTATATCTCTGCCTGCAGTGACAGTGCCGACGATTATTCAAACATCATAGTGTTATTGCTGATATTGCCGAGTTTCCTCTTTCTCTGTACAAAAAGGAGGTGGTGGCAGTGTGAAGGGTTAATTGCATAATTAACCTGACCCAGTAACAATCACTCCCAGGCTGCCGGTACACAGGTTGTGGTCCATTAGCTGGAAAATCTTTGTGCAGGGTGCAGCTGGGCGTGGCATTGTTATGCACGTAACAGCGTGATTTAGATTGGCTAGTCCTTCGGTCACGAGTTTTGTGAGAAGGGCTGGGATCTGACGCCGCGATCGTCACACAAATAGTTTTTCCAAGTCAATGGTTAAGAAAATTCATTGTATCAGCATGACAGCAAGCTTTTCACCAAAGTCAGCAGTGTAATCCTCCAAACATTTCTCTCAGCACTGCTTTTCTAAATGGTTCACACACAGGTACTGGATTCAGAAACACAAATCCAGCATTGGAAACTTCAGACCCATGCTCTTGACTATTGCTTGTGCCCCCAGAGAAAGTAATTTAAATGACCCCAGATACACTCTGCATTATTTTAACATCATGCCAAAGCTCATCCAAAAAATCCTTCATTCTAGAGTTGTCGAATCACACACTGTACTCCCCCTATCATGAAGCTAGCATGCCTTGGGTGGAAAATAATTACAGGAAGTTCCTTTCTTTCTCATGCATTGAGGGATACAGACATTATACTGTCAATGGTATACTGCCACCCTACACTGAGAAACAAATAAATTGTAACCCCTCTTACAACAAGCAGGCCACAGTTTTTTTTGCTAGTGTCCTAGAAAAATGATAGTCTTCAGCTCTGCTGGGAAAGTTTTACCATTTTTGCTGCCAATTTTTTCTTCTCTATACTAAAGAATAAGTTCACTCTTGGAGCATGTTAGACGTTACACCTGGGCTCTGCTTGCATGGCCGCGTCATTCATTCATTCATTCACTATCACTATCCAGATCAGCCCTTCTACAGCTTGGCAGAACTTACAGCATACAGAGTGCTGTACCTGGGCCCTGCTGACCTGGACATTAGGGGCTACCTCGGAAGTGACCTTCAAGCACTAGATTCCATGGTTAAGCACTTTCCAGACTTTGTTCTAGTCACAAGTTAGCAACAGAGAGCTTTATAGGTGCAGAATCATTGCATCAGAGCTTGCCCTGTCTCTGACAACTAATTCTGTAAGTAGGCCAATCAGGAAAATCACAGGGAGTTCTGTGTTTGAACTGATGGGTACCTTTAAAATTCAGTCTCTACCATGGAGGGGGTTAATGATGGACAGGGCACTGACATTAGCTAGGTAGGGATGTGCATGCACCATGTTCTCTCTCTCCATTAGGCCGCAAGGAAGCATCACCCCATAGGTGCTACATCCATCAACAGGGCACAAAACTGCTGCTGCAGCATGTGTACACCCCTGGCCACTGCAGCTAAAGGGGGTGCGGTTAGGACAGGGTGGTAAAAAAACATCTTAGCCCTGTGGTTTTACCACTCCCCAAACTGCAAATGACCTCTTACTGTTCTGAGCCCTGTATAAGGCTGCATTCACTCTGGAATAGTGCATCTGCAACTTTCCCGGGTTTGCTGCGTTTAGCCATAGACTTCTAGTATTTCCTGCAGGTGTGGTGCACTTTCTGAAAGCACACCAAAACTCCTGGTACGCTGCACTGCACCCTTGGTGTGAGTAAACTGCAGAGCATCAGTGTGAAAGCAGCCCTATACTATTATGCCCACTGTATTGCTTCACACTGACCTGAAGATCTCTTCTTTCTTGCTGTTGGCATCGCTCTGGAGACCGCTAGCCAGGATAAGTGGTGGAGGGCAGTTGATATCACTCTGCATGGAACAGGAGCCGGCATTGGTTTGCTCCCTACTACAGCAACCTTACAAATAGTCCCTCTGTATTGCACTCTGTTTGATGTTCTGGGATGGCAAGTCAGCAAGCCCACACCGTGATCTACCAGTCACCTGGCCAAGATCTACAGGTAGATTGCCATCTACGGGTTGCTGACCCCTGGCCCTAAGATATAGGCTGCCATCTTCAGGTGATCAGACACTGGCAAAGCCCTACCCCTTTTTCATGAGAGTTTTTAAATGTAGAGTAACACAGAGGGGAGTGGGTCCTGTACTGTAAATATGGCGTTTACAGGCAAGACAAAAATTCCTTTTTTTTTCACATCAGGATTTGACAAAATAAGTTACTTCCACACTGCTAACAGGGTACATATAACAAATGTCACTTGTATATACACAAAGTGATACCCATCAATACCTATTGTACTGAACATAAGGTACTATTTCTTACTTCTCTAAAAGGGGGAAAAACCATCAAGGACAAAACAAGTCTGATGATCACCATTTTTTTTTTTTTTTTTTTATAAATTTGGGGGTCAAAGTGGGGAAGAAAATGGTAAACTTCACCTCACCTTAGAAAACGGACTGGATATTCACATGCTGTGGAACACCCCCAAACAATAAATTTGAGGGGTGAACAATGACAAGGCAAAAAGAACCATGCCAATGGGCCCAACAAAACAGACAGGAGTCAAGGACCCAAATTATAGTGCCACTGAGTGCTTTGCAGCCAAAGACTGCATCTGCAGAGGCCTAGACATCCACCTAGTACAGCGCTGAGCGAACTGTTGGCGCTTTATAAATACTGTGTAATAATAATAGTAGAACATGAAAAAAGGTATGAACTGAAGACCAGGTGGCAGCCTTACAAAGCTGAGCAAGGCAGTGTCAAGTGTGTTAGGGTTACATATTAGATATGCTAACTGCAAAACAGAGACCTACTCAGAGAGAGAGCCTAGAGATTGGGTTATACCAAAGACTGTGCCATGGCTATGAGCTTGGGAAGTAGTCTTCAGCTGATACAGAACAAAAAGGCTCTGGAACACGCCACAATATAGTGCTCAGTGCGCAAAAGGCACATAATAGGCGCAGATTCATTCGCAGTATTCAGGTGTTTTTATATAGAAATATTTTTTTTTCTTTTGCCTTGCAGATGAAGAAAATTCCACCAACCTCCTAGGACACTATCAAAAACCTGAAATATGACTGTTAGGGGCAGGTGTTCTATGGGGCTGGCCTTCAACTCCCTTTTGTTTGTTTGCTAGTGTCCACATCCTGAAGGCAGCTGCATCTAACCCGATTACCTAAGAATTAGTATATTCCTATGCCCCTCACTGGATGATAAACAAATCTACTAATCCAAACATTGAAAAAATTAGAAAATTAACGGTTTCTTTCTGCCATTCATTTTTGGGCAAAAAAATGCAATCTTACCAGTTCGCTTGTACTGGGGGTCATGTGTTGATGGTCTTGATATTGGAGCATCAGGGTCCAGATAATAGATCTCCTTTGTCCTAACATATGGTACAAATTGTGAAGAAGGTGGTCTATGGGCTTCTTGCTTGTCCATTTCTGGAGATAGATTAATTTGGGTAGAAATTGGATTCCCACTGTAAACTATAGGGACAGGAGTTTTGTTTGATCTCCTCTGAGCTTGTTGTAATCGATTTTTCACTGCAGGAACTGGAGGCGAGTCAGACCTAGGTGCAAAAGAATTTTTTTTTTCACGTAACTCAACTCTAATGCACAACAATAATGCTATAGTAGTACATATTGTAACTAAATATCTGTACTAAAAGGACTTGTTTATGTCTATTTTGCTGCACACCATACTATAGTGTGAACAGGGCACACAGAAACCAATTGTTGTCTATCTGCCCTGTCCAAATCATACAGTGCATTCATAAAGTATTCAGATCCCCTTCACTTTTTTCAATTTTGTTGCAGCCTAATACTACAATTGTTTAAAAATATTTTTTTTTCTCATTAACCTACACTCAGTACCCCATAACAGCAACAGCATTTTAGAAATGTTTGCAAATGTATGAAAAAGGAAAAACTGAAATATCACATTGGCAAAAATATTCACAGCTTTTGCCAGCGCTTGCAATTTATTTCTCTTGATGGTTGCTGAGAGGTTTCTACACTTTGATTGGAGTCCACCTCTGATAAATTGATTGGACATGATTTGGAAAGGCATGCACCTCTATAAAAAGACCTTACAGATGACAATGCTACTGTATCAGAGCAAAAGCCATGAGGGCAAAAGGAATTGTCTGCAGGGCTCAGAGACAGAAATATTGCAAAGCACACATCTGAGGAAGGCTACAAAAAATGTCTGCTGCACTGAAGGTTCCCAAGACCACAGTGGCCTCCATAATTCTCAAATGGAAGAAGTCTGGCACAACCATTACTCTTCCAAGAGCTGGCTGCTTGGCCAAACTGAACAATCAGAAGTGAAGGGCCTTAGTAAAAGTGGTGACCAAGAACCTGATGGGCACTCTCACTGAGCTCCAGCGTTCCTGTGTGGAGATAGGACAAAGTTCCAGAAGGACAACCATCACAGCAGCCCTCCACCAATCTGGGCTTTATGGCACAGTGGCTAGATGGAAGCCTCTCCTCAGTGCAAAAGAAGTAAAGCCCACTTGAGAGTTTGCAAAAAAAAAAGCACCTGAAGGCCTCTCAGACTGTGAGGAACAAGATTCTCTGGTCTGAAGAAAACAAGATTGAGCTGTCTGGCCTCATTTCTAAACGTTATGTCTGGAGGGAAACCAGGCACTGCTTTATCACTTGCCCAATACCATCACAACAGTGAAATATATGGTGGTAGCAGCTTCATGCTCTGGGGGTGTTTTTGAGCAGCAGGCACTGGGAGACTGGTCAAGTTTGAGGGAAAGCTGAATGGAGAAAAGTACAGAGATATCCTCAATGAAAACATGTTCCACAGCACTCAGGACCTCAGACTGGGCCAAAGGTGCACTTTCGAACATGACAATGATCCCTTAGCACACAGCCAAGACAACAGAGGAATGGCTTAGGGACAACTCTGTGAATGCCAGAGCTAGAGCCAGAGCCCTGACTTGAACCCTATTGAACATCTCTGCTGAGACCTGAAAATGGCTGTTCACTGACGTCCCCATCCAACCTGACTGAGCTTAATAGGATCTGCAAAGCAGAATGGCAGAAAATCCCCCAATTCAGGTGTGCAAAGCTTGTTGCATCATACCCAAAAGGACTTGAGGCTGTAATTGCTGCCAAAGGTGCTTCAACAAAGTACTGAGTAAAGGGTCAGAATACCTAAAGTGTTACTAAACCCAGGACCCTGCATTCACTATATCTGGTCTACCACAGTGCACAGAACATGGAAATGCAATTAGTTTAGCAAATATAAACTGCTAAATACCTTTTCTCATCAGCAGTTAGAGCACTATTGTGACGTCTATCAGTGTCCAGCAGAACACTGGTTAAAGCTTGTAGAAGGAGTTTTCATTCTCTCTTAATTGTCCTATGAGGCTGCATGACCCACATGACCCCCCTGACCCTCTGTCCGGACAAATCTGATTACATGCACTCTCCTAAGAAAGAAAAAACTCTCTAGCAGTACACACCAAACTGAGCATGTAAAGCTTGCCCCCAAGGCTCTATTCTAGCAGCAGATGGCTTGGGAATGTGGAAGAAGGGGAGGATCAGAGAAGATAGAATCAAACTTCCTTTTTACACAATGCAGAGGGTAACCCCTTAGGTTCCACAGTGAATATAACAAGCATGCTTTACTGCATATACAGACTGATTTTACTGTTGTGGGTTTAACACTTTAAAGCACAGTCCTGGAAAACAGTATTGCATTAGTTGTCCATTGCCCTAGTCCAATTAGCTAAACGTGGCAGATGTTACAGAGCTGGGCCTGCAAGTAAAAAGACAGCCTTTTTAAAGCTTCCTATGTGCAAAATCTTTGAATTAACATCTTCAGTTGGTACCATAAGATGTTTAAGACTAGGGCAGCAGAGTTCACACCACTGGAACAGGCCACCTTTTCTGTGAACTCTTTCCTCTGGATAGAGCAATTATTTTCAGAGGGGTGAACATCTTCTCTGGTTGATTTGTACGGTTGTGGGTTTAGTAACAATAAGTACATGTGATATTTCAGTTTTTCTTTTTCATCAATTCACAGACATGTATAAAATTCTGTTTTCGCTTTGTCATTATGGGGAACTGAGTGTAGATTGAGAAAAAAATAATTTAAACAATTGAAGTATCAGGCTGCAACATAACAAAATTGAAAAAAAGTGAAGGGGTTCTGGATACTTTATGAATGCACTGTACATGTGCCATGGTGTGAACAAAATACAGTTCAATAGACATTGTGTGCACAAGCCCTAACACAACACTAGTTGGCCTTCACTTTTAAGTTGGTGAGTGATCACGCATGCCCAGTCCTGAGGACACTAAATCTTATAGGCCAAAGACTGCTGTACATCACTCCACAAACTCGTTAGTTCATCCTTAAAGTTTACCTCTATGAAGAAGAAAGCACAGAAGATGTCATAACTACTGCTTTACCATCATGGGAACAATACTATTTGGGGCATCCAATTTTGCATGCCTGATTGACAACAGCACAGACTCATGCACAGGTTATTTCTTCATCACTATATTATAAGCCCCATGAAATGCCTATTGTCTAGAATCACTGCCAAGGATGATGTTGTGCCTGCCAAAAGATATGCAGTATTGCAATATGCCATTGTAAAAATTGACCTTCCAACTTATCAACTGTTCATTCCCTCTAACAGATGCAAGGAAGTGCTTGAAGCTGAATTCTAAATGATCTTTTGTTTAAACTTCCAGCTTGATTACATCTAATTTGTCAAGTCTCACATCCGAAGGGGCACATTGCACCTCTGTGGGCACCAAAAAAAATCTGATATTATATACAAAAAACAACTATAAAGTGAAAAATGCAAATTAAATCCCCCCAAAAGCAATCAATGAATCAATCTAATAGTGGGCAGCTGTATTAACCCCCCACCCATGTGGCAGTCCATGGAGGTATGATTTATATTGTGTTTTTTTGAATGCTTATAGGTGCACAAAAGCTTTTGACTTTTACAGCGCTGTATTATAAATGGAATACTTATTCTGAGTTATGAAATTCATTGTTGTACCCAGTGCTACATATAGTCAGTGTTGGTCTCCTCTGGGTGCTGCTTTTACAATTGTGCTACACAGGTTTTATATCGCCCCGCACTTAAGAGAAAAATAATTCTAGGTCCATTATTCACAATTAACTCTAATAGCATGACTTGTAAGGGTTTTTAAAGCATCGCCTATGGATAATTTTGGATACCAAAGTTTGTTGCCATTGTACGGGCACACGCAACTTTAAGGCTTGACATGTTGGATATCTATTTACTCAGTGCAACCTCATCTTTTTATAATTTACTTAAAAATACCATATTGCATTTGTGCACATTAAAATTTACTTTAGTCCACTTTCTACCACTGCACTAATAGTGTGGGACATATAAATTGGAACCATTTTATTCTCTCGAGTCTCTGCTTTCAGAAAACCTATTAAGGTTGTTTTGTTTTAACTAATCTTCAGGTCTAAAATGTGATTTTTACCATGTGTTTTAAAAAAATACTTAAGTTGGCTCTGGCAGTGAATATGCTAACAGTTGCACTTACCTTCTGAAATATGAGTCAACTTTCTGAAATATTTCCTCCTGCAATAAAAGAAGACTTCTGATAAGAACTATTAATCTACAACGTGCATATAGCAGTTTCTAGGCTGAAATTCTTCAAATAAAAAAAAATGTTGAGATATCTCCACACAACCCTAGATGGAGAGACCATTCCCCTGGATCCAGATGTGTACAGAGAAAACACACCAGCCAACTTTTTTACCCAGAATATGCACTGCAGAGACCACTGTAACATGGAACTCAACTGAGAATAGAATAGACTTTTACCTTTATTGCAACACTCCTGGTTCTCCCAGTGATTAATGTAAGCCACAGCCATGGCACTGTCTGATATAACTTGGATCAGATGACTAGTCAAATAGGGAATCCAGGAAATGAGAAATTGCTTGTTACACCAGAATGTTGACTGGAGCTTTGATTGTTCTTCAGACTAACAAACCTGAACGGAGGGCTCAGAACTCAGCTGAAACCCTATAGACGGCAGTCCATCGTGACAATCTTTCATTGCAAGGGGAGAAAAAAAAATATATTTGCCCTCCAACAATGCTGGAGACAGTAGCCACCATTGCAAAGACATCCTAGCTCAAGGATGTAATCATAATTTTGTCCAAAGAAAGACTGTATTTGTCCCATTACATGAGAATGTTCCATTGCTAAGTTCTGCAGTGAAATTTGATAACCGTTTCAAAAGGTAGATATCGTCAATCCAGGCAACTGCATGCAGCTCCACAGGATGACCAATGTCAGGATTCAAGTTGCCAAGCCTGACTTTGTAGTTTCATCAGATTCTCTTGGGCAGGAAGGGGTTGGCCACATAGGTATCCACAAGAAGGCCCAAATACTCCAAGAAATGTAATGGAATCTGCAATGGATTCATAATATTCACGATCCATGGAAAGTCTACACTGTGATTGACATATTGGAGTATAAGACTAGGGAGATCTGTTCCCGCAACAGAAATATCATGCAGGTCATCTGATACTGGAATGCCTCATAAATAAAAGAGATCCGGAACTGCTGTGAGAGCCTTGTGAATCATGGCAGTGGCATACTCGAAGGAAAGGGCCACAAACTGATAGTGGTTGTTGCCCATACCAAGTGTAGAATCTATGATGACCTGAAAAGATGGGAATGTGTTAATATGCATCCCTTATGTCAATGGATGCTAAGTCATCGTCGTGATGAAGGAAGGCAATAACGAACTGAATAGATTTTATTGAAAACTTCTGAGAATGTACAAAGACGTTTCAGAGCTTTTAAATCCAAGATAGGAGAAGTGCTGGGAAAGGAGTTAGTGGAGCATGATCTGTGTTCCAATAGCTTCAACTGAGTGAAGGGAAGATATTAGGGTCCTAATAGACCCCTGGTGTCTCATTAAAGAGAACCAGTCACTGTAAAAATGCTATCACATAGAGAGCTATTGGTTCACATGTGATGTGGACGTGGTTTAAAAATTACAAAAAAAAAAAAAAAAAAAGTTTATATACAGTTGTGTTCAAAATAATAGCAGTGTGTTGAAAAAGTGAATAGAGCTCAAAATCCTAATAGCTTTTATTTCCATACACACAAATGCATTGGGAACACACTACACATTCTATTCCAAATTAAAAAATGAAGAAAAATATATCAAATTTGTGTTGTTCCTCAAAAGAAATTGAAGAAAAGTGAATATTAGACTGTTCAAAAAAAATAGCAGTGTTTGTATTCTTCTTTACAAACTCAAACATTCACTATATAAACTGAAAAATGTTTGAAGATTTTGCTTTCCTTTGAATCACTTAATGAATATCTAGTTGTATAAGCACTGTTTCTGAGAACTGCTGTACATCTGTGTTGCATGGAGTCAACCAACTTGTGAACAGGTATTCCAGCCCAGGATGATTGGACTACATTCCACAGTTCTTCTCTATTTCTTGGTTTTGCCTCAGAAACTGCATTTTTGATGTCACCCCACAAGTTTTTTATTGGATTAAGATCCGGGATTGGGCTGGCCACTCCATAACATCAATCTTGTTGGTCTGGAACCAAGATGTTGCACGTTTACTGGTGTGTTTGAGGTCGTTGTCTTGTTGGAACACCCATTTCAAGGGCATTTCCTCTTCAGCATAAGGCAGCATGACTTCTTCAAGTATTCTGATGTATTCAAACTGATCCATGATCCCTGGTATGCGATAAATAGGCCCAACACCGTAGTATGAGAAACATCCCCATATCATGATGCTTGCGCAACCATGCTTCACTGTCTTCACAGTGTACTGTGGCTTGAATTCAATGTTTGGGGGTCATCTGACAAACTGTCTCTGGCCACTAGACCCAAAAAGAACTATCTTACTTTTATCATTCCACAAAATGTTGCACCATTTCTCTTTAGGCCAGTCAATGTGCTCTTGGGCAAATTGTAACCTCTTCAGCACGTCTTTTTTTCAACAGTGGGACTTTGCGGGGGCTTCTTGCAGATAGCTTGGCATCACATAGGAGTCTTCTAATTGTAACAGTACTCACAGGTAACTTCAGACTTTCTTTGATCTTCCTGGAGCTGATTGTTGGCTGAGTCCTTGCCATTTTGGCTATTCTTTCCATTCGAATGGTAGTAGTTTTTCGCTTACTTCCACGTCTTTCAGGTTTTTGTTGCCATTTTAAAGCATTTGCGGTGATTTTAGCTGAGCAGCCTATCATTTTCTGCACTTCTTTATATGTTTTCCCCTCTCCAATCAACTTTTTAATCAAGGTACGCTGTTCTTCTGAACAATGTCCGGAACGACCCATTTTCCTCAGAATTTCAGAGAGAAATGCACTGTAACCAGCAAGTACAACATTTGCTGCCTTCCTTCCTTAAATAAGGGCAATAATTGCCACCTGTTTTTCAAAGAATGAATGACCTCACTAATAGAACTCCACACTGCTATTATTTTGAACATGCCCCTTTCAATTAGTGATTCAATTACACAGAATCAGCAGCATGCATGTCATGACTGTTGGGTCTGTTGGATTTTCTATTACTCTACCACACCTGCTAGTAAATTATTTGCCATGTAGAAATATCATTTCTACCAAAAACAGTGATTGATCAGGTTAGTGATGCCTGACTGCTATTATTTTGAACACAACTGTGTGTATGTATGTATGTATGTATGTATGTAAGTATGTATGTATATATAGTATTATATATTATATATATATATATATATATATATATATATATATATATATAACCCTTAAATATATGTATAAATATATGTATAAATATATGTATATATATATATCAGCATCAGGTGCTGCAACGTACAAAAACGACTGCACTACATTTCATCTTTTGCAGCACACTACAGACTGGGAAAAACAAATCTTAGATATTACGTATAAAAAATATATTCAGGGTTAGTGTGACGTTTTTGTAGCACATGGGCGCTGATTTACTAAAGCTGGAGATGGCAAAATCTGGTGCAGCTCTGCATAGAAACCAATCAGCTTCCAGTTTTTTTGTCAAAGCTTAATTGAAAAAGCTGAAGTTAGAAGCTACCATGCACAGCTGCACCAGATTTTTGCAATCTCCAGTTTTAGTAAATCAACCCCATGGACTTTTTATAATTCATACATAGAATGTTCCAATCTTTATTTCCACATTACCTTTCGGGATTCAGGCGCATGTCTGATTTCCTCAGGAGGGTAGGAGATTTTGGCTTCCTCACGAGGAACAGGGGACCTTTCTGGAGAATGGTCTTTCCTGACATTGAGGTTTATTGGAAGAGTTTTTTTCCACCAAATGAAGGAGCTCCATCTGTCGCCTTACTTTACTTTCCTCTCTCTGTTTTTGCAGTCCTTTGGGGTATCTCTCAGAAGCTGGGACATACTTCTTTTGAGGTCTGTTTCTGTTCCAGTCAGGTTTTCGGCCAGGTTCTCTGGCCTGCTTTTCATTTCTTGCATACTGGTCATAAATGTCACTGATTGTGTTTTCTTTTGTAGATTCATTCCTGTCTCTTTGAGACTTTACCTTTATCCCAGGCTGTTCAGCCTTTGAAAGCTGGTAGGTGAATTCTACAGGTATATCAGGAGAGGCATTCTGATTTTGTCTCCAGGACAACCCATTAGAAACAGATGTAGGCTTTATCCCAGGACCCAGATCATCTGTCAAGAAGAATAAACACATAAGCTCAATTTTTGGAAAGATCAAATCTAAGCTCTGGGAATACAGCCTACCTATTCAAGTATTGCCACTGGAAAAACAGGAATTTTGACCTACCTATACATTCCTTCTCTTTGAATTCAGTACAAGATGCAGGTCTTGTATTCATCGACCTTGGGTTATAGGGTGCTATCTTCAGGTGATTGGACAATGGCAAAAATGTTTGGTAGGGCTCCCCCCCCCCTTTTTTTTTTTAGCAAGCAGTAAGAAATGATCATCTCACGGAAGAGACCTGTGTGCTGTAATGTATCCCAAGATGAGCGATTCCTATTACGGGACTTGTATTCATAGACCATGGGACACAATCAAAACTGAGAAGTTGGCAACAACATAGTATCAGAAAACTGCCAATAGGCCCACAAGAAATAAGTGTTGAAAAAACCCGAACAAAATACTTACATAACAGCCTGAAATACCTTTTGGCTGAAGCCCACATCAGCTGAGGCCTTAACATCCACCTGGTAGAACTCGGAAAACATGTGAACAGAGGACAAGGTGGTGGCCTTGAAAATCTGGGATACTTGAGGCAGAAAAGTACAAAAGACACCAACAGCCCTGGTGGAATAGCCCTGTTAGAAAAGGAAGCAACATTTCCTTAAAGGAAAAGTTCACCTTTTGTAAAAAATAAAATAAAATCGCATATCTTTTTGCAGGTAGGAAAAAAAAAAGTCTTGGATAACGCCCTGGAGGAGGGGCAAAACGCGTAGACGTATTTCTGGTTCCAGTGGATGCGTAGTGACGTCATGTCTGGTGAGCGGAGCGCATGTTGGTTTGCGGCGCTCCGGAGTGACTTCCTGCTTTTATTAAGGGGAGATTGTAATTTCATACTACCTACTGCCAGTCCACTTCAGCAAATGAGGAATTTATATGGATTTGTGTCATAAGTATGAGCCTCTCAGCGTATTATAGAAGCGCGAACACAATTTATATCATGTGAGTGCATTAAGGGCAGCATTTTTTTAGGAATAAAGAGTTTTTTATACAGTATTGCAATATTTGTGTTCTTTGTTTTTCATTGCCATCTAAAACGTGGGAATAGTTTTTCGAGGATATCAAGTGCTTGGGGAGGGTACACTCTGTCTTTAGAGCTTGTTTGACTCTTTAGCCATGCCAGCAAAGAGTCCACTCCATCTGGTGAGTGGGGATTGGATTGTCAATCACGGATGGTGTGAGCACTTTTTTTTGAAGATTTTGTTGAGCACTATTTCTGGGATTGGAGCACATTCTTATATTTTGGGACTTTTGTTTAGACTTTTTTTTTTACACATTTATATATTTTTTGCACTATGGAATGTTTATATTTGATTGTTTTTTTTCCCTTTCATGAGCACCAGCATTTAGATTTGGATTATAAAAGTGCCTTTATTTATTGTTTACACTGCAGCCTGTAAAGTATTGCACCCACGATGAGCAGATCGTGCATGCAATGCCAGGATCCTGCAGAATCTCAGTAAGCTGTCTGCCCAAACCCCTGATATGGGCAGGCAGTTACTGAATGGCAGGAATAATCAATGGACTATGAGGGTGCTCACCAGCACCATCGCAGTTCATTGAGAACTACAAGCCATCAGCCGCAATGGCTGAATGTGGCTGTGTGATTTATCCACAGGAAACTGAATGAATAATGTAGCCGTGTGGGAGGAACCCTGTATGGCTGCTCTGTTTTCAAATTGTGACAGTGGGTGCAGGGAGAAGATCCCCTGCCAGCATTTAAAAAGTGGGGAGCACTGGAGGTGGGAGGTGGCTTCATAGGAACATATTGCATGTTATACTGTAAATATGGGTGCAACATGAAACATGCTTCTAAAGGTGAACTTAGCTTTTTAGAAACATAGGCACTGGAAATTAGTTGTCTGATTAACCTGCCAGTGGTGGAGCAGGAAGCAGGGTGTCTAATTGGTTCAAGGTGGGGGGGGGGGGCATTCTGAGTAGAGCAGAGAGAAACAGGTTGAGATCCCAAGGTGACACAAAAGGTTAAATTGGAGGAATGATATGAGCAACTCCCTGTAGAAAAGTTTTCATAAGGGATTGTGTGAGACAAGAGGTTTCTAGAGGAGCATAAGATTAATCTGTTCCGTGAAGGTACTCAGGGCCAGAAGCTGGTCAACGTCAGACTGAAGGAAGGACAAAATACAGGTGAGGTACTGTAACCCCTAGGGTTATGTCCTCTGTTATTCACTAAGTAAAGTGGGAATAACCAAATCAGAGACGCCCCCTATCCTTTTGGGTTTCAACAGCCATGCTGCGAAACCAATAACTGAAAGGTAAAATGAAACAGAGGGCCTAGGGCCAGTAGATATGGTTTGTTTGGAAAAGGTCAAGGCTTGTCCACCAGAAATCTACTTATGTCTGTGTACCACGTTCTTCTGGGCCAGTGTGGTGCGATGAGAATCACCAGAACCCTTTCCTACACTATCTTATGCAGCAGTCTAGGGAAGACCTTCACTGTAGAGAAGGCATAAACCAGTTGGAATTGAGACCAAGGAATTTCCAGAGAATTTACTGTGAAGGCTAGAGGATCCCAGATCTTAGCCACAAACCTGTTCACTTTGTTGTTGAACCTGGAGGCCAGAATGTCCACATTTGGTTTTCTGTTTGACAGAGATTTTGAAATATCTATGCATGCAAAGACCACTCTTCAAATTAGAGTCATTGACAACTTAGGAAATTCGCCTGCCAATTGTCCAGTCCCGTAATGTAATGTTGAGTGGTGGAATGTAAGTTTCTGACATTATCATACTCATATCACGTTTCTGGTACCCCCTTGATGATTTCTGTAGGCCACTGCACTTGGTGACCTTGTACACAGGTAGGCGGGTTAGGTGTTGTAAAACAATCTCTGATGCCTCTCGATACCAGAATGTTGTTGGAGAGTTTTGACTCCTGCAGGGAGTTGTAAACTCCACCCTAGCCCACATCTGTCATCACCACAGTTAAATGATATAAGATTGAAGGGGTCTTGGACTGAAACTGGGCAAAGGGTACTGCTTTGAAGCAAGCCACCATGAGGCCCAGAATCTTTATGCAGAAAAGAATTGAGAGTTGTCACTGTGACCTTTTGCAGGTCCGAGAGCTCAACCTTCGGGAGGCAACCCTCTCCTGAGGAAGGAAGATTCTGGCTTCAGATGAGACCAAGATTAGACCTAGAAATTCTGAAGGACCCTCTGCACACTGGAAAATACCCTCTCCAGCAAACTTTGCAATAAAAAATAGGGATATTTACTTCACACATATTGCAATACATGTTTAAGATGGCCAACTGCGTCTTAGACCCAGGTACTTGAGATGGTGTGGGGGCTGAGAGGCAGACTTTAGGAAGTCTGTTATCCAACCAAAACTTGGACGGAACTGGGTGTTCCTTTGGAAGTTGGAAAACAAAGTCCTGGCTGAGAAGTCCTTCAGCAGGTGGTCATCCAGGTAACTTGTGATATGAATGCCTTGGGTTTGTAGAAAAGCCAGAAGCATGTTTGTGAATGCTGAGGTTGCAGTGGAGAGCCCGAAAGACAATGTCATAAACTTGACAAGCTAGTCTCCCACAGTAAAATGCAGTGAGCATTGGCATGATGAGAAATGGGAATATGGAGATAAGCATCTTCTATATCTACTTATGCAGGAATTTACAGATCTTGTAGTTTCCATCCGGAATTTTGGTACACAAAGAAATCTGTTAAGTGGTTTTAAGTTTAGTATTGGGCAGATGCCCCCATTTGGTTTTGATACTGTAAATAAGTGTGAATAGAAACTTTGAAACTGTTCTTTTAACTGCCTCCTGCCTGCCATATATAGAAATGATGGACAGATGGCAGTTCTCTTGTTCTGGGAGGACGTCATATGACGTCCTCACACTCTAACCGCGCATGCGCAGTCCCGGGAGCACGCCGAAATCACTGGTGATCTGTGTCCTTTGGACACAACTCATCACCGATCATGGTAAATAGCTGCAGTTCTTTACCACGTGACAGGCTGTGTGCAATCAGCCTGTCACAAATGTAAACACAGAGCGGTAACTCACTGTTACCAGCTTCCTCTCCTCACACACAAGAGGAATCTTCTAACAGTGAGTCAGTTTTTTACAGTGCATGCACACATTACAGCCCCTGTCACAGTGCCCATCAGTGTACATACCACCCATCAGTGCCAATCAGCAGTCCACCTGTCGCCCATCATTGCACCTGTAGCCCATCAGTGCCCATGTGCAGTGCACCCGTCGCCTGACCAGCAGTGCACCTGTCGCCCATTAGTGCCCATCAGTGTACCCGTCGTTCATCAGTGCACCCGTCACCCATCAGTGTACCTGTCACACATCAGTGCCCATCAGCATTGCATGTGTCGCACATTGTCCTTCAGTGCCACCATCACCAGAGTACCTTCACACAACGCCACAATCACCAGAGTACCCATCCTATGGCCAACATCAGCAGTCTACCTATCCCAGGGCCACCATAGCCAGCTATGACAAAACATCCTCAGTATGACAGATGAGAGCTCTCACATACAGATTCAGTGTATCAACCCATAGAAAGCAGTGGATCAGCGACTGAATCAGAAGAGGAAAGGGTCCCTTCTAAAAGGATACGGCGCTCTGAAAACAGAGGCAGCCACTAGCAGTGCCAAACACCCAAATGGTCAATCTGGAAATGCCCATGGCGCTTAAGCCATAGATGAAAGACCCAATGCCAGCACTGGAATATTCCATCAACCCCCAAGAATCAGGGCCCAAACATACCTCCCAGATGCTCTTGCCAACCCATTATGGCTGCCCTCCATCTCCAGATCAGCAAGTATTCTGCCTTTCACCATACAGCAAGGTGTGCAGGTCAACACTGAGAATTTTTCAGAAATTTATTTTTTTTAATTTATTTTTGCCCGGCACCTTACTTCAGTTTATTGTGGACCAGACAAACCTTTATGCCACACAATTCATTACTAACAACCCCATTAC